CCGGGCCAAAGAAAAGCCCCAATCCAGCTGGTAAACAAATACCAGGAGCTATTTAATTGGTAGAAACGACCAGCAGCTACTACCATAAAAGTTAGCCACAGGGAGTGTGCTCTACCGGGTGGTTCAAGATCATCATCATCATCATCGTCGTCGACGTCGTCAGCGCCATCGTCATAGACCCTCGCACAAAGTAACTCGCCTTTCCCAGACACTTCTATTGACCCATTAAACACCCCAATTGAACAGCTTCTGACAGCTCCGAAAGCCAGCTCTGCTCAGCACGACGTTCTCTATGTTATTTATGGTTCACACCATGGCACAACTGTTTTTCTTTTTTTTTTACTTTTACATTAACTTAAGCTAAATAAGATAGCTGAAAATTGTATTTAATTGGTGTCTTAAGAAAAACGCATTATCCTGCGAGATAGGAGTGAGACGAAGTAGAGTTACTTTTGAGCAGAAATATACATAATACTCGTTCATCAGCTATGCATTCAAAGTGAATAATAAGAATATGAAGAAGTAAAAAGAAATATGAGCTATATTATATGATTGCAAATACCATATATAAAAAACTTTCTATGAGCGCCTTCGAATTTTATAATTGAATTATTCATTGATATTTTTCACTGTCCATTGATTTTATTCGATATTAATAGTCTTGAAAGTGTTCATTGGTATAATTCATTGGTAATATTACTACCCTAATTTTATATTATCCAAATACTCATTGACTCCACTTATTTTTGAAATTCATTGGTATTATCCTTTGGTATCATGTATTTTATTAATTATATTATTATTATTATTGCTATTAGTAATTTGTACTGTTTATTCATTGGTCTCATTTATTATTCATTAATATAATTATTTTATATCATGCTTTTACTCATAAAGTCAACATAAAAGCATAGGGTATATCTCAGACAATCATCATTGATAACAACACATCTATGGTCTCACATTCATAGTCAATCGTGCCTATTTGCGCATACATCAATAATTATGTAGCCTAGTGTAATTCCAATACATCCATTAATATATATTTATTTATTTATATAAGAAGAAAAAAATCAACTGGCTTTTCCAATATTAATGTACTCGTAATATGATATCGGCGATTTCTCAAAAACCTGTTCAACTTCTTTAGCGACTATTGAATCTCTCGGCGACAAACTAGTTTCGTTGGACCCATTAAAAATGTTTGCATTATTAAATGGTTAACAAACATGTGTTAGCATTTGTTCAAGTTAATGTTTAGGCATTCAATTATATTATAATGGGATGTAAATGTAATGGGAAAACATCATTAATTTCGCATAGAGTAAATCCTTTACTTTTTTCTCCCCTCTCTCTCTCTCTCCCTCTCTTTTTCTGTGTCTCATTCTCTTTCAGTTTTTTTCTTCTTTTGATTTTAATGTACGCAAGAGGGAAATAAAATACCATTATTGGCTTTGCAGAACCTTTTTGCCTATTCCTAATCCTTCGATGCGTCTAAATGGAATCAAATCCTCAAAATTGGATTGAAGAGCAACGCCCACTCTGTAGACAATCCAGCTACAGCTCCGGCTACAGCTACAGCTTCGGCTCAGACAGTTACGCATTTATGTTTATTTGGCCGTTCCACGTTCCACCCCCCGAGCCCAGTCGCCTTCTTAATGTGCCAGCCAAATGCTCAATTGCGGTGTCCCAGGACATGCCAAAGTGAACGGAATAGGGGATTTCCACTCAACTACATTGTGTTCTCAGCCAAAGTGGACTGCCTGATGCTGGATGCTAAATGCTGGCTGCTGAAAATGTAAACAGTGGAAAATGGAGACTCAATTACTTAAACGGTTAGTCCATTGTTCAACATACACAAATTTTCATATTTCTTATTTCTGTTTGTTTCCGTTTAGGTGCGATAGTCAAATATTTTCATTAACATGCAGATTTACCCAGCTGTTACTTATTTACAAGCTACGTGCAGCTCAACAAAATGGTAAATCAAGAGGAATGGAGTGTATGTATATAGATATGCATAGATAGAAATATTATTGGACTACTTGAGTACTTTTTATTAGCTTAGTAACTCTTTGAACTGTTTGGGTTTATTAACTCTAGCAGCAAAACTTTAGCGTATTGCCTGGCTAAACCCAAGCTTCAATGCACATCATCTTTTTGGCTAGTAGGCATCATAATTTATGATTGTGCTGCAGAAGCTCCTCCACAATTGGTGTGAGCCGCCAATGCCGAGGACCCAAAAAATAAAAAATAAAAAATAACAAAAAATAAGGAGAAGGAAAGTCGAACAGAAAAAAAGACTACGTCATACTGCGCAAACTGTGTCTGACCTGCACAGCAGGCGCTGGCGGAGTTTTGTTCTTATCTTATCCCGCTGTCGTGCCATGGAACAGAGAATATGTTCTTATTTGTGAAATTGCTTACTTGCTACGATCTGGCTAACTAGTTTCAACCAGGAATACTCCAACAGCCTCCGCTGCTGCTGCTGCCGCTGCTGCTGCTGTTGATGATGGTTTAGTCCGAGGGCCCTGTCATTGTGGTTATGTTGGGATTGTTAAACAACAATATATGCGGACAAAGAAACAAACAAGGGATTACTTGAAAATCGTTGATGGCTTGGTGCCATACCAATACCAGTGCCGTCTGGCCACTGCGGACGGACCCCCTGGCGACAAACACAGGCCACATCCGATGTTCTTTCACCTACATAACGTGGTTTGCACTCCCAACATCAAAGTTTACACAACAGCGAACCCGAACATGGTTCACAATCGATCGACAAACTCATCTTTGATCAGAAGAGTGAAGCTGATTAGACTATGGGAAGCAAAGGTATAGAGTATGTTTATTATAAGTAAGTAAACTACATTCATCATTGTATCCCAATGACAGCAGAAATCACTATCCTCTCTCTATTAAATAAATATTTAAATTATAATTTACATATTTCCTATTCCTATGTCATTTGCCCATGGTATATGCATCTATCCAATCACTCACTTCATTAAATATATATCGAAATCTACAGGAATAATCCTTTTACAATCAAATCCCATTTAGAATCATATCCCCCTTCACACCCATATCATAATCCCAGTTGTCTAGGGACTCCATCTATTTCTCTATGTTATCTTTCACTTTGAAAGAGTCAACTAATTTGCAGGCATTCCATTTGGATAGCTTTCTTGACTCTTCTATCTAATCGATTGCTGACAGTTCTCAACGGTAGCGAAATTAATTTCAGTTTCAGTGAAACCCCTTTTCTGTTCAGCTTGTTGGAATCTCACCCAAACGAATTAAGACACGTGTTGAAGCGACTTGATTTTAACACGGAAGCGTTCCAACCCTCCGGCAAACCCCGAAAACAGGAAAGGGAAAGCTCTATGGCAGTGGCAGAGCTACATGCTGTGAGTTAATTCCTTTCGATGTGGTTATGAATTAGGCACAACTCATCATTTGCAGCATCTGCGACTGTGCTTTTTAGGTGGGTGGGCGGACCGGTTCGCCGGTTGGCCGGATCGCCTTCACGAATATCGAATCAGACACAGAAACTTTGTGTTAACACCCGACCATTACATAGCCGAAAGGCATCTGCAAGAACAATATGTGGCACGTGGCACGTGCCTCACTGCCTTACGGCCGCACTGCAGTCGAGCGTCTTTATGTGACAACAAACAAATAAAACGTGCACCTCACACCCTCCAGCTGCTGAGCTCCAGACTCGTATGTTACAATGTATTTGATGTATACAAAATAACATTATGCTTTCCATATAAGTTTTTTCCTCTAACAATACGATTCATCATGCTTAGAAATATATTCCTAATATTACATAGACTTGGGCGAGCTCATGAAAAAACATTTTACTTTCTCAAGATCCGTGCAGACTTGTCCTAAAATTTATGTGAGTTTTTGCTCTGGAAAAGAAAGAATTCGTATTACATATAAATTGTTATATAAGTGTAGTGATCCTATCTGCTTTACTTCCTCCATAAGAAATAAAATACTTCTAGAATTACTATCTAGAGGACAGGCAGATGAACTTCTTTAAACTGTCATATCAATTACATCTATACCCATAAAATGTATATACGAGGGTAGTCTGAAATTTGTTCGACCTTCACTTGCAAATAAAGTATGATGGTGATGGAGATAGTGATAGACTAACATCAGTATGAACTATGAAGTTTTGTCTGACTTTTATCTAAAATGTTTAAAGACAAGATCTCTTTCAAGAATTAAAAAAAATTATTTTTAAAATAAAAAAATAAATTAATTTTAAATTAAGTTGAACACATTTTAAAACTGTTTTTCTAGTTTTGTTTTTTTTTTTTTTTTTTTTTTTTTTTCTTGAAAGAAAGTTTTTATTTTTAAATTATATCTATTTTGATACTTGGCAAATAATATCATATTATATTAATCTACCACATATATTTAAATAAATACATATATTTATTTAGCACTAAATATGTCGCTACCCAGTATAAATAACAAATAAATCGAAAGTCCCTTATGTTCCAGTTTTTTGCCTAAACAGTATCAAATTTCATTTCCTCCTGCAATCCCTTGACCAGCAGGCTTTAACGAGCATTATAACATAAAATCCAGCAATTTAAAATACTTAAAATGTGTAACAGTTGCTCATTTTATGAACAACATCATTATTTCACACTACTTAATTTACTGTTAGTCAAAATTCACCACGAATTACCAATTTATTAGATGTGTGCGTGTGAGTGTGCGTGTGTGTGTGTATGGGTGTGGGTGTTTGGCTATATATCCTGAATACTGATGCAATTGTACTTAACGTTGCGAATGGGGTGACTTTACCGCACAATCTCTCGCCCTCTCTCGCTCGCACCCATTGTAGATGTACGGCAGTATAGCAAACGTCAGTGATTCCCTGATTCCCCGGCAAAGGCATGCGCGATAGGTTTTATGAAGGTAAACAAGGAGCGTCGTTCGCTATTTGTGTTTGTTTTTACATCAGTGTCAGTGCACTGGGCACTGACTTTCGACACGTTTTCTGACTTAATTTTAGTTTATTGCTTTTTATGTATCTGTGTGTGTGTGAGAGTGGTGGTGTTTGTGTGTGTGTGTGTGTATTAAAAATCATTCATAGTATACGCACACCACCCGCTCGACTGCAGTTTATGAGCGACCGGCAAACAATTGGCATGCTCAGACTAGAACGTCGTCCGCCACGTGTTGCGGATGATATCCTTGGCGAATTGTTGGGCGTAGTGCTGCTCCTTTGAAGTCGCCCAGGACGCACTAGAGTCCGTTGACTTTTCCAATTGGTGGGGTCGTAACTGATGCTAAGACGTGAAATTAAGTCAGCCTCCGCTCAGCGCCGCTCAACAACGCGATTTTCCTCGGCTGAGGGGCTGGGGATGTTGAGCTCTACTTATGCCTGTGACAGATATAAACTTTTTGTTTACTGTTCTCACGCTTGTGACTACCAAATGACGGATTGAATTAGGTAAATATTTGTTTATGGAGCGCTGGTCCGATACACAGCCCTGGTTAGATAGCCCAACTACTAGAGCACCGGCACAAGTCGCCTGATTAAAGCCACATGATAACAATAATTGTTTTTCTTTTAATATATTCATCTATTTTTGTTTTCGTTTTTTTATTTTTCGTTTTGTTGTATTCCGAAAAAGTTATAAATGTTGACGCATGGCACGTGCCACAGTTTATCGTTATGATAAGCGCCAACAAGTGAGAGTGATCTAAGCGGGCGTATATTCCAAATTCTTCCCATACTCAAATCGTTGTTTTGGGCTGAGTCGTGTAGGTTGTCGGAAAATGGTAATTTGTATAACATTTGTTTAGTTTCGTCAAACTTTCCGATGAAATTTTTTACATATAATGCTTATAAGTCTCGAGTTATATTAAAAAAGATCTCGGTAGAATTTTATAGTCTTGTCCATTATCTTTTAGAAGTCCTTGATTCATCAATTGTAATCTAAGCTATCAATATTTTACTAAATATATTAAGATTTAAACAATTAATGTTTTAACTCCATTTTTTTTACTTAAAACGTAAAAAAATTGAAATGCAAAATTTTTTCTCTAGCTCCAATTCCCTTATTCGCCCCCTTGCCGAATTCATTCTCATATTTATCAAAAATGTACAGAAGCATTATTAAAACATTAACATTATCGGAGTTTAATTATTATTGATTTTATTTTCTAGCAACATTTCTTACCTTTAGCTTGAGCATATCAAATTGGCAAAAGGATATCAAACATCTGCATAGATACATTTCCAATCAGACATACATATGTGCATACTCTCCATATGTACTCCAAGCTGACCCCTCAATGTAATTTTCGCAATTCTATTCATTTAATTGCCAAATGCATATAAAAATTCATTATATTTTAAACAGAGCACGCAACGAGTGGCCTTTCACAAGTGTTGACACAAGTCTTCAGCTTTAACTGAAAAACATCATTTCCAGTTTGATGATGAATTCAAGTGCTACCCAGGATGCTATCTGGCACTCGCCCTTGCACTACCACCGCCGCCTCCACCGCCACCGCCACGGACGCTCTTGGCTCTGGGGCAGCCTGGCATGCAGAACTCTTCTGTGCAGCCGACAGTATTTGCACAAAAAAGTTAATTAATTTAATGAAAGGCTCGCAAACTAGTGTAACAAGTTCAGTTGTCATATAAGTACATTTGTAATTACATAAATAAGGCAGCCCACGTTACGGGTTCGTAATTAAAAGCATAGCCGCCTTTGCCAGTGGTTAGAGTGTAGAATTAAACATAATAATTCTTTGTAGCTATTTGTATAACAGAAGTGAAGCTGTTATTTGTCTTGGCCAATGGCTATATATTTGTCATATTTGCTTAAGACACATGCCCACAAATAAGCCTTTTACAGTCAAAGTTCTCCTCCTCCTCCTCAAGCTCCATCCCAACAAGAATACATGCAAGACTCTGTCGTATTTGGAATGCCAGTGCCTCACTTCACCTTGCGCTCATAACTATGATTCATCACACGCTCGCCTTTATATGCCCATTCTCAGGAATATATCACACTTTTAAGCCCACCCCATAGACATCTCTATACAGAGTTACTTTCGCTGAAAAGAGTAAGAAGCAATTCGCAATCTTTACACACACCTGCAAATAAAGTTAAGATAGATATTTGTTTGGTTGATAGCTGATATTTGTTTCGTTTCTCTCTCTTTCTCTAAGCTATTGTGCTGTTTTTCTTAAATGTAAAAGATACATATTTTATTTTATTATTATTACTTTACACATAATCTTATAAAATAAATTAATATTCATCCTTTGGTAGCTTTATCAGTATAAATACGCACATACAGACATACAAATATATGTATAAGGTTAAAAATAAATTGGTAAAAAAATGTATACAATCGTCGCACTCAAATACATACTATACGAAGATTCCTTGAAATGTACATTATTATAATATGTATGTATGTTTGTGTATGTGTGAGTATGTGTGTGTCTGTGTGTGTGTGGGCGTGTATGTGTGAGTAAAGTCAGCTGTATTCCTCTTATGAGTATATTCAATTCGTATTTAATCCTCTATGTTTTCGGACAACTTATGTAGATCTGAATAGTTTAATATGGCGCGATGTAGGAACTCGTATTGTGCCTAAAAGAATAAATATAATTAGTTATAATATATTAGTTTTCATTGTTTCATAGCAATCATGTATTATACATACGAATGAATTTAGAAGTCCTGGTCGCTGAGATCGCAATTTTCTTGTTATCGAACATATATCTACACTCTTTTCCAATCTAAGGTGCTGAACCAAAATGCACATCGCAACAAAAATTGAACTTCGATCAGTGCCCAAGCTGCATAATTAAATATAATTTATAATTAAAAACAATCTACAATATAATGACTACTAATAGTAAATTACCTGCAATGAACTGTTAGAGGAGATCGACAACCATTGTTTTTGTGATTCTTATAATGTTTGTGTGCTTGGTCTACCAGCTCAATAATGCCCCGACAGACTTCAGGAACTTCTCCATCGACAGTGGGCCAACCATTATACTGGAATTGAGTCACCTTAAGGGTATCGTCGATTTTGCAATTCGTTACATAGAACTCCCGACGAGTGTAATACGGACAACTTTCACTATGTACGTATTTTACGAGTATTTGATCATATTGTATTTCATCATCAGCCCAATAACGTGGACATTTCCTGGGACCGTCTCCAATCTAAATTAGAATTGTGGCATAGTAATTGCATGGAATAAAGTCAAACTGCATAATATTTTACTCACCTCGGATATCATAATCAGTGTGGAAACACTTTGCTCAGATATCATTCTCCAAAAATCTCCAATTGTGTTCTCCATAGGATCTTGTGCAATTATAAAGGACTCGCTATTATCATAACCCTCAATGAAAGAGGCATTTATATAGGTTGAATTATCGTTCGTTGGTATGGGGCTTAGAATGACCTAGAACAAATTAAATATAGATTACATTAGGCAACATATCAAGTGATTTACTTTTAAATTCGCACACTTACTCTATTACGATCGTATGGAATAATTTCATGGCATCTATTTTTCAGCATATTTTCCTTAGTTTCGCCTACGCTGCAAGTTTTATTTATCTCATCCGTTGTGTTCACAAGTTTCTTAAAAAGAAAGAAATTAAGTAATTTTATTTTACTGAGACAAATCATTGCTCACAAACCTCAAATTCCAATTCAAGCAAGCATTTTCCCTCATTCGGCTTGAATTTTAGATTCTCAATTGTTGATGGTAATGCATTCAGTGGTATATCCGTGTTTCCATATGTAGCAGTATCCAACAATGCTCGGTAAAGGAAAATGTATTGTTTCTGCAATGAGATTATAAATAAATGTATGTAAATATATAATAAGTAGGAGTAAGCTAGCCTATAGAGAAAATCATTAACTAATCTTCATTATCGTATCTACTGTATATCGTCAATATATTGTATTTTGACCATTATAATCATTATATTCTCATCATCTCATTACCGATTTGATTCTTGCTATTGTACATATTTGAGGTTTGAGCATCATAATCATAGCCATGACCCTTCTTAATAATAAATTCGTATCTCAGTATTGTCAACTAAGCCAACTTACCAATGATTGGACCAAAAAGTTACGCTGATGACGTAAATCGCACACAGTATTAAATATGGATACCATATTTTCTTCCTCCAACTGTTGCACAAGAGAGTCCAATGCGACTAGAGTACCTGTTCGACCGACACCTGCGCTGCAGTGCACCAAAATTGGACCTCTTTGCACCGAGTAGACCGAATTGATTTGACGAATAAACTTGATAATGCCATGCGGATGCTCGGGAGCCATAAAGTCCTTCCATGTCAGATAATGATACTGAGTAATTTGCCTGTGATCTTCCTCGTCGCCGATCAGATTCGACTTTGTGATATCTAGGGATCGTATAATATAATCTCCAGTCTTCCGTTCTGCGGTAAATTTAACTGAGATATCGCCAAACTGCTTCGAGTCGAAAACCTTCTCTGGCCAATACTTTGCGCATTTCGACTTATTATATTCCTCCAGATTTGTCAGCATAACAATAATCTCTAAATGTTGTTCCCAAATCATACGCCAGAAATCGCTAATTGTGCTTTCCATGGGACCTTGAGCGCAGATAAATTTCTTCCTCTCCTTATATCCAATGACAAAATTGGCATTTATATAGTCTGTACTCTGGTTTCCATTAATTGGCGATAGCTTAACCCTAGTTTGATCGTAGGCCTTTATATCTGGATATCTATTCTTGCACGCATTTTCTTTCATGTCACTATTCTTTGTTGTTCGGTCAGTAAAGCGATTTGGCAACATTTCATATTCCCTTAAGAAACCATAATCCGTATCCTTATGCCGATTTTTATAGGCGCTAACTAAATCTGCTTTATGAATAGGACCAGTATCGAAACCTTTCTGATTGCCAGACCCTATGAACTGGCTATGATTGTTCATCCGACGTCTAAAAAGAGTTCTGAAATTGAAATTTACAAATTATGAGCTCAAAGAAATTATAAATCAGACAAATCAGTTGTAAATACCTTAAGGAATCTCTTAAAGTTAATGTATCTTCGTCTGGCATTGCGTTCTTCGTCTTCTGATGATGGACTATCCAGAAAATAATAAAAATGACAATCACTCCTAGTGATATAGCAGCAGCCTTAATGCCAATATTCAAATAGAACTTTGAATCATCTAGGGAATGTATTTGTTCTGCCTCAGTCGCAGGCGTCATTACATCAAAGTAATCACTGTAAGCCATAAGAACCGTACTTCCAGACCGAACTATAATGGAAAAGATATATAATATTTCAATGCTCGCATTTGGGGCAGTTATATATTTAACTTACCTATAATCTCAAGGAAGCCAGTGTAATTGAAATTTATATCTATTTCGCCATCGTATATATCTCCAATATTATTTGCATTACTATTATTTGTATCTTCCTTTTCAGTGCCAACTGTGGGATTTCGTCGTATTCTCATTCTACTTCCTAAGACTTGTATGGCTTGCTCTGTTAAATTTCCATCTTTAAGTAGTTGTTCTTTTTGAATCTCTGCTGGAGTTGGGGCGGAATCTAACAATAAATATAATCAATAATTGTGATTAATAAGTTATCCAAATATATTTCTATGTATAAATTATAGTATAATCTCTAGTATCTTACCTATTTTCAAGGCACTTTCTTGTTTTCTTAAAAATGGTGCTCCGTCTAAGCATTTGCGACAGATATTATCGTTGTCAATAAGATCTTCAGGCTTGTTAAGGAAACGCATTTCGTCTCCTAAAAATATTTCCGATCTAAAGTATCGATTGCTAAGCATTTCAGCTATATAGGCATAATTATTGGTCTTATTATTATTGTTGTGCACTTCATTGTACGTAGCCACGTTTAGTTTCTCAGGAGCCGGCAGTTCGTTATTGCCATTGGTTATTTTGACTAGATACAGCCGATAGCAACAGATAGGTCCATTCCGTTCGCTAACTTTCGGTATATATAATTTTAAAACGTATTTTGGGCCATTCTTAACCTTTGTCCACATCGTTTTGCCAATTTTTTCGGGCGTAGAAATTGGCATGAAGCAGCTCACAACGGCAGCTTCTCCGTTTTTCTTATGTCTCGTAATTGCGGAGACTGTTGCAGTATAATTAGTATTTGGACTAACGCCTTCGTAGATCGTTTTATGGCTTGGCTCATCGACCCTACGGATTTTGGGGCCCCATTTCTTGGTTAACATTTCACCCTCTTGATTATAGTAGGTGTAGTTTCCTTCGAGGATAATCAAGTATGAAATGATCTTTCCATTTGGATTTTGGGGTACATTCCAGCTGAGAGAGATCGAATCCAGCCCAGAAATATTCTTATTATGGCAATGTATTTTCAAATTAGTTGGCTTCGTTGCAACACCATCCATGGTTGTACCATTCACTTTCTCTGACCAGGGACCGCAGGTTTTGGTCAGATCGCTGCATGCCCGCACTTGGAACTCGTAGTCCGTGGCGGTCTTCAGTTTATCAAACATGTACGGCAAATTTCTAGAGTTCTGTTGGTGGAAAGCTTTCTCAATCAATTTCGGCACATCACCTACTTCAGAGACCGTCAATTCATAGTATTGGATATATTCAATAAGATCCGGTGAAGGCGGATTCCAGCCTATCGTAATTGTCGAAGCTGTGCTGCCAGTTGTTTCAACCTTTGGTATGAATATCGGATCTTGATCCAAGGTAGTCACAGCAGATGGGTATTGATGGTTAGGACCCTCGCCAATCGAGTTCTTGGCCATTATGCGCAGATTATAGCTTGTATTGGGACTGAAATTCTCCAAGACATATGAAGTATAGTTGCCATTGATGATATCTTTATAATATTTGTATGCGGGCGAACCTGCTTG